TTTAATTATGTAATTTCAATATCCTTTCTTTTTCCGTAATAAAACTACTCTTTATTTTAATTCATGGACAAATATAAAACATGCATACTTCTTAAATTACGGATAGCAGCTACAATGCCTTAAATGTGCCAACATAATAATAAGGAGAGTACTGGCACCTTTTTTCAAGCCATGTTTTCACCTCATTACCTTCTCTTTATTCCGTTGTACGCCCCGTCCCCCATCAGGGGCAGGATGGCCTGGCGAGTTCATCCCCCAGGCCGGGCGGCAGCTAGAGAGAGACCAGAGCGCCTCCAGGGCCTTTTTTTGATAGGGATGAGTGAGGAGGAGACGTGCATGGAGGCATTGTGGTCAACGCCCCGTCCCTTCACACAGCTCCACCACTCGGACACGTGCGGCCCCATTTCAGGGTCTGTGCTCGATGGGGCAACACATAAAAAATATATCAAGCGTGTCAGTTGTGTTGCATCTTACCCCTCTCTGCCCCCCCCAGTTTAAAAAGTGGACGCTGGACGCTTTACAGACAATCCCCCTTTGCTTCTTCTTCAGTGCTGTCAGCACAGCAATCGCTAGTCAGACTCATTACTTGACACTGATACTTCTTCAATTTACTTTCAACAACACCATATTAAATTGTTTTTACTTGTGTGTTTGTTTGTGTGTCTATTTGTGTAACTTTAGACTCATTTTGCATTTGCTCGTGCAAATACGGCATTGGACAAATACTATTATCCATACACTTTGTGTGATTTATCTATCATTTTCATTTTAATTTAATTGCGGTACCCCACTGCGGGGTAAATACTTGTTATTCATGAATGAGGTGTTTCTGTTTTTTGTCATTCCTGTCCACTCACATCATTATATTCCCCACTCAGCCATCGTGGTGTTTCTGTCAATGATGCATGCAGCTTACGGGGATTTTTTGTCGACGTGTTTGACAAGTAGACTGTCACAACCAATGACACTCCGGCATCAAGCGAACACTTGGCTCTGCCTGGATGTACCTGCTCTGAACAGGGACTTCTCAAAGTCGCCTAATCCTCGTCGATCTCATGAATAAGTCACAGCCTCTCAAAATCTGAAACAATTCAGAATCTAAAACAAAATACAAAAATCACTATAATTTGAATAATATATGTAAGATAATTCCTTTACTTTGTTGTATGCACTATATTGTATACCTCTGTACTTTTTCTTCTGTGTGCACATTTGAATCAAATGAAATTTCCTTTCCGTTCCCCCCAATAAATGGATTTTTTATATTATTTGCCTCATTAAAATCCTTATGGAAAAGCTTGTGCAGAAGAGTTCCTAGAAAGCAGTGACCCCCCAGTCGAGCCAAGGGAGGAACATGGAAAGCCAACCGGGCTGTTTCATCTTTCATATTTATTTGTTACCCCACTCAACCGAAAAAACTGTCAAATCTCACATGAGGATTTCGTTGTACAGCCACAGAAACAAACACACTTCCAGACACAGATTGCTTTCATGGGAGCATAAGAGGTGTGATTCAAGAAACGGAAGGAATGGTGACTCGTGAGTCATCATAATAATCTTTCTCTGAGCATTTCAATAACAGATATGTGAGTAAAGCAGATATACACTACTCTGTGTGCCCACCCACACACACACACACACACACACACACACACACACACACACACACACACACACACACACACACACATCAAAGACAGTGTTTGAAGTGGCTTCTATTGGGTTTGAGCCACTCCAGAGGGATTGAGGTGTCCCCGGTCCGGGAGATAGCTGTTTGTAGGACTGTAGGTTGACGACTTACCGAAAAGCTTCAGTTTGAATAATGAAAGACTCACAAGTTGCGCCAGGAACTTCTCTCTTACAGGGATACCAGTGCACTCACGCCGCTCCAATATGATGGTGTAGTAAAGTCATAACTGACTGAGTGATATGCCTGAGTTATTCACAACATCTACAGAGATTAGTGTGAGATATTTATATCAACATTTTCAGAAAATGGAAAATGACCAAAAATATGTCCGGTAGGTTGTTTCTCACATTGAGGATGAGCTCCCAGGAAAAGATGTTCTCACTTACGCTTGTAGACGCTGTGGCCGGATTCTGTGTCTGTTTACAGATGTGGATGTCAGCTCAGACGGAGGGTTTAGAGAAGCGTTATGGAAATAGAGGATGAGGACTTAGTGATGCAAGGCAAACCTTAAGCCCCCCCCCCCCAAGTGCACTCCTGTGAATCAGACTTTCAATGGCCACAGGCCCGTGGAGCACATCGTCATGCCTCAATATGTATGGAAATGAGAGGGAATCACGCTAACGTGTTTCCAGTCTCCTCAAACATGCTAATTGTTCTCATTACACGTTCAGCCCCGCATCAGCTTTCCCGACATGTCACCCCTCCCCCCCCCCTGGACTCTCCTGTCTCTCTTCCTGATCTGGAACTCATGTTATTTTAATTAGACATTTAAATATCCATTGACCCAGTCCGATCTACTTGACTGAGCTCCTCCCTCCCGCAGTATCCACCCTCTCTCTCTCCCCCTTTCCTTATTCAATCTTTTTTGCCGTCTCTCTTCTCTATCTCTGCCTCCAAAACCTCCCTTCACCCCCCCCTCTCCCCTCTCCCCATTTTTAGAAGTTGGGGATTGAAGGACTCAATTTCAAAACCGCACACGTCTCGGTAACTGAAGTGAGGGGTTTGTTCCGCTGCCACACTTCCGCTCACAAATGCCCTGGCTTGGAGGGGAGGGAGGAGGGAGAAATCCCCGTTAATCTAGTGAATCTCTCTCCTTCTCTCACTACTATCGGGAGTCTGGGACATCGATCAGCTGGCAGACATGTAGGCTGTGTGTATGTGGGATGCCCGGTTTGGTGATTTGGGGATTGCAACACAGTTAAGTCGACATGTACAATATTGGTTTTAAAAAAGAGATATCAAAGGGATTGCGGAAGATCAACGGCATGCACCTCGCTGTTTAAATCAGTGCCTATTCTGCCAAAAGAGATGACCATGTTGACATTAACTAAGAAATTCACAAAGAAGAAGTGGCGACGTGAGCAGTAAGATGAGGCAGGCTTCATGTCACATGCGCTCGTTTCACCCCTATCAACAAAGTTGAGAAAGTATTTTTGCCAAGCGAAATCTAGGACAAAAAAGATGTCATGTTGTTATCTTGAGCAGGTGATGTGTCGCTCTAATTGCACTGTAACTAAATATAAGAGGTTATTCAAACAGGAATAGAGTTAGTGCAAGCGCACACACACACACACACATTTAAAAAGGAAATATGCTATTACTGCTGCACCTGTACCAAACTCCGCCTTGCCACAGCGTCACATAATATTGCAGCTTGTGTATTATTAACTTATTTTTGAATATCATGTTTTAACCTTATTTTTTCCTTATGGGTCTGTTCTCCAAGTGCCTAAGTTCCCAAAGTGGACACAGCATGCACTTGGCCTGCACCTGTGTTGTTGCTGGTCTTGTTTTGTTGATCTGTGTTTAATGAAAGCGAGCACGCTGAGCAGGTTTGGCCATTAGCTCAGCAAGGGGCTGTAATCACTACAAATCGTTTCCCTTTTTTCATGCGGGTTATTATTGAACAAACAGTCTGTGGGGAGAAAAGCGTGTGTACCTGCCATCTTCTTTCTCCCTCCTTTTATTTCCCTCTGCAAGGCTGCGCTTTGGAAAGTATTGATTCGGTAGCTTGAAAATAACAAACTGGCAACCTTGCGAGCGGGGTAATAAACAGGCTGAGAAACAGAAGTTGAAAAAAAGCACACATGAAGCGTGTGCCCTGAAATAATAATCAGCTACCTTAGATGCTCATATTCGTCTCCCGGAGTTTATACCTCTTACTACCTTGTGCAACCCTTCAGCTTTTAATAGCAAGATAAAGACCTGCTTCATTTGTATGGAGGATAGCGAAAGCTTATGTCCCCGGGCTATCAGACTTGGAGACATTGTAGTTGAGTAGCAGGGTTGAAAATACTTTTCAACAGTCATCGAGGCGGTCCGCGTCTCACGGTTAGAGAAACGTTAATTGTCGACGCTGATGGTACAACATATGCTCACTTTAAAAAGGGTTCAACATATTGTACACATGCATCCATTGATAGACAGAGTATCCTTGATCAACTCTTCGAAAGCAAAAACATGCTCATACACAAACTAACATATGAATATAAAATCACTCTTTCAGGTTGACACACAAAGACTCTCCAGACCACGACCCGTCTGTTGCTATTAATGGTACTCGGCAGGGTAATGATGACGAGGCTGTGACTGCGGCTCACGTACGGTTGGCTGATGGCCATGCTCTCTGACAGCTGTCAGCCGCCACGGCCGCGCTGCCAGGGCCCTCCTTAGGACTTATTTCAGCTCAGCTGCAACAGCACTTCACACAGAGACTTGTTGACTATCGGCATCGGCGGGGGCCGCCGCGGAAAGACTTCCCTGACCGCCTGTCTGCCAATGACAGCCACCATGATGGCGGATTGGGCGAAAGAGGACACGGGCAGTCACTTTGATTCATGCATCAGCAGCTCCAGCCGGGTGGCTCGGCGCCAAAGTCTTGACAGTCGTTATATACCCCGGCGTAAATGACATTTAAAGTGTAAAGCAATGGCTGTCCTTGTGGCTCAGTCACCCCAGGCCGAGCTCTGGACATGGGCGTTTTGCATTAAGGTCATAAACCCCATGGCTGGTTCGCCTCACTCAGATGCTCAAACTCAACTCGCTGCCACGATCGAAACTTGGAAAAGTGACCTTGAAGATGTGTGTTATCAATGATCTGATGTACGCCTGGCACCTGTCTATGCTGCTCTTTGCATTCAAACATATATATTGGTTTATATAAACATACATTTATATTTTGTATGTGTTTCCAATATTTGGAATGAGATTTGTTCTAATTCTAATGAATTTAACTGTTTTTATTAATGCATCAATATTATGTGCGGGCAAAATACACTCTAACACCTCCCGTTGTACCTTTTGTCCACAGTCTATCCGTGAAGTGACAGGCTACGTGTTAGTGGCACTCAACCAGTTCGACTACCTCCCTTTGGAGAACTTGAGAATCATCCGAGGAAACAAGCTCTATGAGGACCGCTACTCCCTCGCAATCTTCCTCAACTACAGACGCGATGGAAACTCCGGCCTTCGCCAGCTCGGCCTGAAAAACCTCACGGGTGAGTGCGTTTCCTTCTGGTTATTCACAAGTTGTCTCTGCTGTGTGGTTTTGTGAGTAAAATAGGTACGTTTTGATATATGTATATATTTTTTTTAACGTTTGAACGTTGTTCATTTCCACACTTTGTGGAGGTTGTGTGCATCTTTACCCTTTCATTCATCATCTACTGGCACTTCTCGGACAGATATAAAAAAGTGTTAGGGTTAGGAACTTTTGCTGTCTGATGACTGTTAGATACTTACTGGGATTTTGCTTTTTTTTTATAGGTTTTACATTTACAGTGACGCAAAGAAATCTGCTCCAAACCCTGTGTTCAGTGTTATTTTATTAATCACGGTTGAGTCAGAAACAGTGTTAACAAATGGAGGCAATTCACACGGCCGTGTTAACATAATGAAATGTGAATACCAGAGAGGGATATTTTGAAAGCTAATTCTTGCTTTGAATGCTTCACTGAGACATACCTAAAACGTCATTATTCTCTTCATTCACTTCATTACCTTGCTTCAAATTGATGTCTTTGAACTAATGATTCCAAAATGTTAAAAAGCGGAAAGATCTCCTTTTTAGATTCAATTCTTCGTCAACAGCAGAAGGTTATTTACCCGCTGCTTCTGAAACTACGCTGACAAGTAACAATTTATTCATATTGTTTAACATTAATCTACCAATGAGCTGGTAAATGTTTATTGTATCATTGTGAAAAATGGTTTAGTTGCACACAAGATGTAAATGCGCAGACAGTCTTCCTCTTGCACGCCTCCCGAGTATCCGCCTGGTGCTGTTATCACAATGAATCCTCTCACACTAAAGGACATAACGCTGACTCTGGATGTTGCGAAAAGACGTTATCTCTTTTATTATTTTCCCACGTCGCTCCTGCTTACAGACACTGTTTCTCGTGTGATTTACAACCCACTCGGCAATCGACCCGAGCCTCAGAAGTGGGAGAGGGCTGCGAATGCGATTGCTGATAAATAGCGCGCTAAGTAGGAAAACATTGTGTGGGTGGCACTGCCTCTTTCTGAACAACGGATCCTTGTGCTGCAAGGTTTTCCTTCAGTCGCCCTGACCTCACGGTCAGTAAAGCTTTTGACTTGTGAAAAGGATGTCAAGCTTTCTCCAATACAGGGCTAAGTGGGGCACGCAGAGGCCAGGCCACGATGTGTACAACGCAAGACCAGCAGCATTATTCACTTATTTCACCAAACAAATGGCGTGACGGAGGCTGGAGAGACGATCACATCTGGCTGAATTACATTTAGTTGAAGTCTTATCAATGAGTTCTGGTCATTCTTGTAATGCAGACAATGATGTTATCTTCAATTCTCGTTTGCCCTTCAGAGCAACGCTAAAATTCACTCATTATCTTTAACACAAAGGATAGCGTTCAAAATTAGATTTGAATGATTTATTTTGGAGCTACCAAAGCCACCAAATTGCTGTGCATGTCGTCGTAGATGAGTGATGTCAGTAAAATGTGCTTAGACATAATTTGTTATGCTTTTTCTCTATGGGGATAAGCTCGCAGTGCAATCGGTGCAGACTGGTGGCACTGAAGCTTGTTTCAACCCAATGCTTTTATTGAAATTATTGCACACAAGCCATAAATGTGTTCCCATGATTACAGGTATGAAAGACACAGAGGAAAAATGACGATAATGTTATTAATGTACTCTATAATTTAAAGGTTCTCTCTGTATTGAAAGTACAATTCATTTTTGGTTCTGATATTTATTTGGATTAGTGAGGTCGAAGCCTCGCAAGGATCTTGTGTACCTGCTGCTTCCAACCCCTCTTTCTAAATAATTGAATTCAACTGTTCCTTCCTGGTGATCCCTCAGAGACAAAGGAAGCTCCACAGTCTTCCATGACGGCATGCACAGAAACACCACATGTGACTGTGTGTAATCCTCCATCTTGTATCATTTCTCGCACGTTGCGCCACACTTACGGAATTGCATTTGTCCGGCACTACCAGCAGTCTTTTGCCAAGCCGGTCCTCTTCATTGTGGTGCCAAGTTGAAACCACCGCTGAGGGAGCCGGGGCCGAACTCTGTGAAAAGCTGCAGTTTGATGTGCTGTCCATGGCCTTGAGACATGAAGTTATGCACTATGCAAGCGTTCATAACCCTGAATGAGTGCCGCCCCGGCACTTCTCATTTTTAATAGTAGAGTAACATTTAATGTTGATGAAAAGATCAGTGCTCCCCTTGGTTCTAGTAACCACGGCCGTGGTCCCGTTGTATGTAATACCTGAGTGGAGCAAAGACTGCTTACTGTAACTATGAACTGTGAAGTGTAGCACCGCCTTTCAGCTGCTTATTAATTGTGGCAGGATTGTGCTTTATCTTTTTGGCCACCTCTTGTTTTGTTTTTTATCTGGTATATTCTACCGCATTTTAGATGAGGTCCCTTAACCACTTAACTTAACTACCTTAATTGACAACGTATCTCCTCGTAGCAAATACATTGCAGAGTCTATCATAGCACTGCATTCTTCAACGATGGCTCTGACAGTTGACCATGGTCTTACTGGGGGGGTGGAAAGGCACATGGTTCCTAGTTTGCTCTGTTTCACTTGTCACCCCTCTACAGCGTACTGTTGAGTAAGAAAATATAGGCCTGAGCCGATCATATATATTCACTGCAGTACGTCAAAACTCATTCCTTCCTCCAAGTGCTTTAGCGAGTCTGAAGTTGGCTACTACTTCTACTTCATCACACGGCCTTCGGTGTTGCTGTGACGTTGGGCGCCCGTGGCACTGCCAGCAGCTTTAGAAGTGCAAGATGATCGATATAATCCATAAGGAACATATATAAGAGGATAAAACGTATTAACTACATGAGGGTCTATTCGAGGTAAGGGCCAGTAAAGAACCCTTTAGTGCCGAAACCCACCCGCATTTGTACTCTGGTTTTGAAATTGCCTCAGGATGAAATCAATTTGTCGCCAGTATATTGTAGCAATGCACTTATTGATTTTGCGGGTGCACTCTCGGCGAGCTGTGAATGGACTCTCAGGATTTGCGGGGACGGCAGGATGGAGTGGAATAAGGTCGGCCTAGCAGGGATAGGACTCCCTCCGATGCACCTTTCAATCAAGCTTAGCAGAGTTATCCTCATGAATATGAAATATAAAGCACAGTCAAGCTAGGGAGAAGTTGATGGATAGCGTGTGTGTGGGTGTTCACAGCGGTGTATCGGCGTGAATAAGAACCAGTGAAAGACTCTCCGCCTCCATGTGGAAAGTTTATTTGCGTTGCTAATTGATATTACTTTACAGAAGCAGGACACATTGTGAGGACTCCCTTCTCACCTGCAGACAAAAAACCAATCACTGCAATGTTCCGGAGAGTGTTTGTACGACTGCAGCACAGAGGAGCTTTAAGCGAGTACTTTTGACTTTTTCTCCTAGCTGAGTAAGTAAAAGGTTAACGGAGCCACCTCCTGACATTCTCAAAGTCTCAAAAAGTATTTGATGCGCGCCGGCGCAGTGTCTTCCGTCCTGCTAACATTTTTAGCACTTCCGCGTTGGATTCATGAACCCCGGGCAGCTTCTGTGCTTTCACATGGTAATTACAGCCTGCTTCCCTGGCAAAATAATAACAGTCTCAATAAGGAGCACAACACAGATGAGCTTTCTGATTTAACACATTTACTCCCCCTCCGCTCCCCCTCCCCCTCTTTCCCTCATTTCATCCAGTATCTTTTTTTCAGATTTGTTTTGTGTTGTTGGTTCATTTTTCTAACCACCCTACGCCTGCACCGCGTCTGTCCAAAATGAAGCATCCAATCTGAGGCCCCATCTGCTGAATGATCCTCGCTCGTTGCATGCATGTACACAAGCCTGTGTTTTACGCCAAGGCGTTATCAACTCCTTCATGGCCCATCTGCTCTCTCTTCATCTACCCCGTTTTCTGTCTTTCTTCCATCTCTTTATCCCTCTTTCCTTGGCTCTCTGTCCCTCATCATACTTTGGTTGGCTGTCTTGATTTGTCACATTGATGCCTCTCACACAATCTCAAGCGATGTGATGCCGGTGCCATTTTCTGCGCAACCGCCGCTCGAATACCGCCCTCCGGTTTTCTCCAAAGGCCGCTGCAATTGCTTTGCTGAGGAATTCTTAGGGAATGCTTCGCGTCGTCTGCTGGACGCGTCCTGTTTGGTGCTCAGGGGAGGCAGAGAGAGGATGAGGTGAGATCGGGTTAGGTAAGAGGGACGATTTCGGACGAGTGTTTGCCCCAGACAAGGAGCCACTGAGAGTGGGGGGGGCATACGATTGCTTCCCTTTTTCTGTTCTCCCCGAGACTTCCGCTCACCGTCTAACTTCGAGGGGAGGAAGTAGCACTGCTGCCTCGGGAGGCAGGCGGGATTATTTTCAGTGCACGTCACTGGAATTTAGTTGAGTCTCAGTCCTGGCAGCCCACAGACCTCGGGTCTCCTTCAATTGTGCGCCTAATTGATTACTTCCGATGCAATTACTCCCATGTCACACTCAATATTTCACCACACCAGGAAGGGGGGGGCGAGAGGGACTTTCTTTTTGAAGGACGACATTCATATTGTCACATTTGTGCCACTAATGTGGATCGTGAAGAGGCACACGTTAATTTGGAGTCTGGAACGGGCCTTCAGCGGTGGTTTGTGCTAATTGATTGCTCTGTAACTCCACTGTGTGGCAGAGATAGTGAGACTAGTGAGAGCAAGTGGTTGTGTTTCATGCCAGGGGAACAACGGGCCTGAAATTGTTAACAAAGTTTATTTTTTCAGGTGTTTTATTGTTTAGCTTCACAGAGCTGAAAATGCTTGATGCAACTACATTATTCCAGGAATTTCTATCCGACTTCCGAACTCTCTGCCCATCAATGCGCTGAATTTCCAAGGTCATAGTTCAGGAATCATCTCCTCCATAATTTCTCACTCTTATCTCTTATAATCCTTCCTTCCATACTTTTTCATATTTGACTTTTTCTTTTTAGACGTAAAATGAAACCT